TCCATTTTACAGAGGACACCCTCGGATAAGGTCCAGGAAGTCCTAGGATGATGGAAACCTCGTTGTAGACGGGTGGACTTCTGCTGAAGGGCGGCATCATAGCAGTGCTGTGCTCCAGAGTCTTGGCTTCTAAATATTTGGAATTTGTATTTGAAAATCAAGAGTAATTTCTAAGCATCTTCTCCTAAGTCTAGGTTAACTGATAATCGAAACCTAAGCAAGTGCTCCCTGCTGGTACTTTATTTCATTACTGATGTTGAGTTCCAGTGGAGTTCCTCCAACTTCCATTGAGAACAGGGTTTCTCAGGGGGGAAGTCACCTTTTACAGACGGGACCATCTGGGGTCTAGCTCTTACCATGACCTTGTTCCACATTTAAATAAATGACTGCCACTCATTTATTTTCTCACCCCACCCACAGCAGCACTGAAGAGCCTTTTTCTCCCCGAAATCACCCTCTAGTCTCTGGGTCTCCTTGACAGTGGTCCCCTCCCACTCCATCATCGCTCACTGATCCTTTCCTTCCCTCTTCTGAGAACCCTCTTAAATCTGACTTTTAATGGTGTTGCCCTTACCAGCTTTACCAGCTGTCTGCTAGAACTTTATTTGCTTACTTACATATATAGTTCAAGAAAGTCTTCATTTAAATTTAGTAGGAATTTCAAATGCAGAAAATCAAGTTAAAGAAAAAATTCTTTGTTTCCAGAAATATGCCAGAAAGACCCTTTGGTTAGGGGAATATACACTAAAAATATGCTTATTGTCTTGGGGAGTTCTCAGACCATTGTAAGTAGATCAGATGTTCATGTTTCCCTGCTGGAAGGTAGACCGTCTGAGAATAATACAAACGTCTGTCCAGTATCCACTTGTGGAAGCTCATCAGTCATCTCTCCCCCCTGTGGAGGGCTAGCCAGGGGCTTCTGGAATGGGGCTAAGGGTTGACAGAAGCCAACTGGGACAGAAACACAACTTCAGGAGCAATTGAGGGACAACCTGGCTGGAGTGACTTCTGAGCCCCAAGGATCAACAACTGGCTAAAGGGGCTCCAGGGCTATGGGATGACATGAGGAGTGAGGGAACTGGGGAGGAAATAAACACTGCGGACAGTGATGGGGGTGAGGTGCACCTGGGCCACCCGTTTCCCTTGACCTTCTACTCTTTACCCTCCTCATATTATTATTGGATGACGTTATCTATTCTTCTCATAATGGTCCCTGATTATGTAACCAAAGAAATCACCCTTTGGCTTCACAGGTCCACCCCGAGCATCATGCTGCTCTGCTTGGGTGCTCCAGAGGTACCCAGGTACCCGAGCCAGGAGCACAGACTCTTCCTAAATGTCTTCCCTTTACCACACCCACATCTGCTCACCTCCAAGGGCTGCTTGTTTCTCACCCTGTCATTTAATTTCCCTAGACTGTCCCAGCTATGGTGGCACTCTTCAAGTCCTGACTGCATCTTTGTGCCCGAGTCCCCTGCCTTTGCCTGCCTTCTGTGCATCCGTGATGTGCACTGTGGCTGCAGAGACCTGCGCAAACTCCGACCCAGCTATAGACATGGTTTTTGTGGCTCTGCATCATTTCAGGGGTTGAGTCCAGAAATTTTCATGCAGCATGTGAAGACGCCCATGTCCTGCTCTCCCCTCATGCTCAGTGTCTCCTGCCACCTCTCCCTGGTCACCCTCAACAAGTACAGTGAGGTGCCTGCATGGACATTTCAGAGAAGCTCAGGAAAGGCCCGTCTTTGCCCAGTTTTGTACACAGTATGGGCTGTCACTCCTCCGGAGGTGGCATGGGGGGAGGACCCCACCAGACATGGTGCCTCCCAAAGGGGCCTGCCTGTGGCAGGGAGGCAGCCAGCAGAGCTGACATCCTGGGATCTGGCTTCTCTCCCTCTCTGAGAGCTGTTTGTTCCTCCTGGAAATGAGGGTGTTCGATCCTGGGCCAGAGGACAAGTGGCAGAGGAGTGAAGGAACACCGTGGGCCAGGTTCCCTCTGGGAGTCCTTGTGCAGTCGTGACCCACGGGACCAGCAACTGTCCAAAATTCCAGTCACCACAGAGCCTGGCTTTAGGGAACCTGCCTTGCGCTCGACCTCCCTGAATTTTAGGCAAATAAGAAGCCAAAAATGGGAACAAATTCATAACAGTTCAGGGTAGAGATCCCCTCTTGAGAACTGGCAGTGTCACGGAGAGGAGGCACCATTTCTGAGTATAGCACAGGAACTGGAAGTGAAGTGTCCGTGGAAGCACCTCCCTGGTACTGGCCGGGCACTGATGACCAGAGCCTCAGCCTCACTCCCCCCACCCTCCTCCAGTGACACACCCGAGTATCAGCCCTGGGACGGCAAGAAAGAAATAAAACAGTTAGTCTTTGTGTTCTCTTATATAGAGCTCAGACTCTTGGCAAAATTCTGTGTTATTTTATGTCCTGTTTTCTCAGTGGCAATATTTTGAAGCTTGGGCAATGGAAAAGGAAATGCTTTCTCGTTTCAGGACTTATTTAGAAGATTACTAAGGAAGAAAACACCAAATTTGTTTTCTGATGATTATCACATGTAAGTCCAGTTTTGGTCTGTCCCTTCTCCCTTCACCATACCAGATTCTCTCCTTTCTCCCCAGGTGACATGTTTGTAAACGGTAATATTTCTCTTATGTCTGTGGGTGATTGTGTGGATGACTCTGCACTGACTTGGTACTTCTGTTATTCACGGTGGTGGCTAAATGGAGAAAAGGCCCAGAAAGCCAGTGACAAGGAGCACTCTGCTGCAGGGCAACAAGAAGTGATCTGTAAACCCGATCACAAGCACCACAGGGGCTTAGGCAGCTGCGAGGCTCTGTGGCCTGCAGTACTGGGTTACCAGCAGTCGGTGGCTAACAGTCAAGCAGCCAGGCTAATGGGGAACGAGGCCGCCACTAAGAATGAAGTCAAGAGGGAAGGAAGGCGCAGTGTCCTGCAGCAGGAGACGGGAGCTGCCTGGACCTGGGTGGGCTCAGGGTCCTGAGACTGAGGCTGGCAGGAAATCCCTCCAGGTGAGCCAGCCATCTGACTCACGGATCCACGCTGCTGGTTTCATGAGCTGTGCTGTGACTGTCTCTCCTCATCACCTGGTCTTCTGAGGTTGTCAGTGACCAAAGACTCACACAAAGACAACCACTAGCCACTGCCTCAGGATGGACAGGGAGGGCAGGCGCCACAGTGTGGGCACGCAGCTCTGGTGAGGGGTGGGCACTTGGGGCAGGAAAATGGAGTTTTAGGATGAAACTGGATTCTCTGCTTCTGCTGATGGGAGGGGTCTGCACTGAGCTCTGCCTCTGCAGCAGAGAAGTGTCAGCTGACCTCAGCAGCACATCGTCAATGTTTTCTTTCAGGGTTCTTCACCCTGTGTCTGTCTGTCTGTCTGTCTGTCTCTCTCTCTCTCTCTCTCTCCCCTCTGTCAGAATGAAATCCACAGACAGGATGAGTGAGTGTCAAAGTGGAATTTGTTGAAGAAGAGAAACAGAACTCTTGAGCTGCAAGAGTGCCCGATACCAGGTTTCTCCCGTGGAGCGTGCTAGTCTAGGGGTTTAGACAGCACTTGGTTCACTGCTTTTGGTCCAAACTTATGCTAATTAGGGTTTGGGAACGCATTAACCTCTTGATGGATTCTTGAGTCCCAACTTTCATTCACTTCTACCCCACTTCCATTTTTTGGTGGCAGGTCAAGAAGCAGGAGGTTGAAGTTATGGGATGGAGCTGCAGCGGGGAGTGGGCTTCTGTGGTAGGCACCTATACCATGCCCAGTCCTGGCCATGGAAGGGTGATGGGTGGGCTCACCTTGGCTCCCTGGGTGCCGGCTTCCTGGCGCTGGCTCACAGGATCTGTATGGTGGGCTCCATGCAGCTGCAGGCCTTGCTTTCAACCTACTTTGCTGCTCCACCACTGGACAGTAGGCAGCGTGACTGGCTGGGCAGCCATGCCAGCAGCATTCCCAGGGTTCTGACTGCCATTTTTCTAGAGCTTTGCAAACTTGCACGAAATTCTTCATCATTGACAAAACATAAAATGTAAAACAGCATCCACCACGAGGTTTACAAACAGTTTACGAAAGTCACCTGGTCAGTTGAGGGTGGAGGAGAGGGTGTGTAAGGGTCCGGCGAAGCGTCGGAGAAAGAGACCACCAAGTGACCACTCATGCAATTGGCAGAAGGGGATTTATTGAACCAGCATGCTGGGGCTCCGTGCCCACTCAAGAAGGGAAAGCAGCCCAGAGCCCTGAGCAGGGGCTGAGCACTGCTTAAGTACACTTTTTGGGGAGGGCGGAGGGCTTTGTATACATCAGAACAAATCATCATGAGGCGCGGGAAAATTGAACAACAACTCCTAAACATGATTAGTTCATTCTTTGGCGGGAACAGGTCAGGCTGGAGTGATAGGTCATTCCTAAGGAGGGGGTTACATTCAAACTGATTGGTCCAAGCCCTGCAATGCCTACGTGCGACCACACAGAGCCCTTCAGTTATTAAACAACCAAGTAGTCAGGGGAAATATTTACTGGGCAGTTCCAAGCATTGTCTTAACAGCTACAGAAATTTCAGGTTTTGCAGGTAACATAGAAACCTAACAATACCTAATCCTTTACATTTTAACTCAGACCTTGCAGCTTAGAAACTTTACAACACCCGGTCTTTTACCCTTTAACTTTTACGCTTTAACTTCAATTTCTTTTACCCTTACAGGTGCTGCTTCCTTCCCCCAGTGGACATGTACAGTTTGCTTCCACATTCCTGTGTTGGTTACAGTATTTGCCACATAAAGCCATGATGACAGCCAAACAGCGTAGCCCCTGTGAAGGGCTCACACACATCAGAACGTGGACAGTGGGGCTCCAGAGGGGACTGCAGCTAGTGATGGCTCTACAGTTCTCTACTTTTTCCAATCAACACTTATCATGTGAGAAATTAAATATTAAAGATTATAAGGGACATACTAGTTTGTTATTTACCATTTTGATTTTCTTTTTCTTGGTTGGCAGGGGTGTGAAGACTCACATCCCCAGGGAGCATGGTCCTCCTGGGCCTCAGGGAGAGTTCAGTTCCCTGTTTCTTTACTGCTTGGTACAACCAGGGCTCCCCGTAACCATGGAAGGGGTGAGCAGACTTCAGACCCACGGCTCCACTGAGGCTGCAGGGCTTCTACTTCTTCTCCTCCGATTCTCTTTGTTTTATTATTCATACTTTGTTGATCACGTGCATATAATGATTTGTGACGACCTTTTCTTCCAGTCTTGTTGACATACAATTAACAAATGAAGACCATATACATAAGGTGGATCCCTGTGCTTTTAACTCTGAGAATTCTGATCACCAACCTCTGAAATGTTACCCAAGGTGACACAAAGCTCTGAAGACACGTGTGCACATCACTCGTTTTCTGAATGTGAAGAGACATCCCAGTGAACGTAAGGACATGCCCCACAGTCACTGACACCACAACAGATGTTTTCATAATAGGCTGCAGTTTGCACACCGAAAGATCCCTGTTGGAACAAATAGGATTCATGAATTTTCACACTGAAGCAATGATCAAAAAATGCTTTTTTGTGGTGGAAGCACTGAAGCTGGACAGGAGCATAAGTGGGAAAACCTAGAGGAACACGCGCGCGTGCACACACACACACACACACGCACACACGGCAGGCCAGACACCTTGGATCTGACTCTACAGCCTCTGTGACAATATTTCAAACTTCAATATTTTTATTTATTGACATGAACCAGGAGCAAATTGTGATGAAGCCAAAGAGTTTAAGAAATTTAAAAAGGGTATTAATTGTTCAACTCAATTTCAAGATATTTTCTAGATAGGTTGAGTGTGTAGATACATAAAAGGCAAGGAGGCCAAATGCAGCAAGCGGAGCTGTCCCTTCAGCACCACGTGGCCATTATTAACAGTTCATCAGGGACTTGATAGTAATATATTTTGTTTTCTCAGAGGACATCTGTGATGCAATATATATGTCAATTTCTAAGGCCATGATTTTGCAACTTTTAAAATATACAAACCCCAAATTTTACACTGACAAGTATTTTTTTGTTGTTGCTATTTTTTTTAGATTGGAGATTGAACCCAGAAGCACTTAACCACTAAGCCACCACCGGAGCCAGCCCCTTCTATTTCTAATTTTGACATGGGGTCTCACTAAGTTGCTTAGGGCCCCACTAATTTGCTGTTATAGTTTATAAGTGAGATGTCCCCGAAAAGCTCAAAAAATCTCAGAGGTGAACTGAGCCAGTTCAAAGAGCCGTAACCTAATCAGCACATTGACCTACTTAAAATGAGTGGGGGCGGTGGACAGGGGGGTGCAGCTGGAGGAGGCGGGTCATTGGGGGTGTGTCTTTGACCCTGCAGCACGAAGCAGTCTCTCCTTCTTGATCACCATGTCCTGCGCTGTCTTCCTCTTCCACACATTTCTGCCATGATATTCTCTCTGACCTTGGGCAAAAAGCAACAGAGTTAGATGTTGATGAACAAGACCTCCTCCGAAACACCTGGCACGAGGTCTTTTGGTCACAGCAGTGAAAAGCTGGTTAACACAGTTTCTGAGGCTGACCTCTAACTTCCAACCCTCCTGCTTCAGAATCCCAAAAAAACTACACTTCTGAACCCCAACACGCATTGACATGAGATAAAAATCTAAAAAACTACGGCATAGTTTTTCCAAAAGAAGAGCCCCTGAAAAACAGACCTGACAGGGAGGGGAGGCAGGGGAGGGAGGAGATGGTGACAGAGGGGAGGGGGGCTCAAGGCCCAGGTCCAGTGCAGGATGTCAGGGTTGGAGAGCAGGGCCAGGGCTGAGGGAGGCCAAAATGCCCAGGCAAGGGGCAGGGATAGCTTCTCCCAAAGGGAGCGCGCAGGGCCATGAGGCCCAGGTCCAGTCCCCGGGCCGGGTCAGCGTCCTGGGGAAGGGGGATCAGGAAAAGGGGCCCTGCGGGGACAGGGAGGACAGGAGGGCCAAAGGAGGGCACAGCGTGAAGGGCCTGAGGACGGGCGTTGGTGGGGTGGGGGCCCAGAGCCCAGCAAGGAGCCCAGGCTAGGGACCTAGAGGAGGGCCCATGCCAGGGGAGAGCAGGGCATGGCAGGCCGGGCGGGCAGGTGGCACTAGGGTACTGCTGTGCAGGAAAGCCAAGGGGATCAGGGAATCGGCCCAAGCGAGGGGCCAGCAGTGAAGGCCCAGGGACGCGGGGAGCGAGAAGGGGCACCGGGAAAGAAGATACTTTGAGGGTTTTGCAGCACAAGGGGACCACGTGCACTGCAAACCCAAGGGAGCACAAGGGTCCAAGCAAGGGGCTCACTGTCAGCGACAGGGACACACTGTTTGATAAAGGTGGCCAGTGGTTCAAGGGAGGATCCCCACCTGGTGTCGGAGTGGCAAGGCCTGGGTTTAGCTGGTGTAGGGGGATGAATGTATTGGGAAAGAGATGGGAGACTAAAAGCCCAGGCCCACTGCCAGGTTTAGGTTTGGGCAGCAAGTCCAAGAGCCCGGGCAAGTGGACACAGGTAGGGGAGGGGCAGAGAGGCTGCAGGAACAGGGAACAACGGGAGTGTCTGAGGCTGCCCAAGCCAGGTATCCCCCCTCAGGTGTGGTGTGGACGGGTGGCCAGGGCTTCACTTGAGGAGACCCAGAACATGACCTGCTCAAGGGGAATAGGGGCCAGTTTTTGAGACTCCATGGGACCAATGGCAAGGGTGATATCCTGGGACAGCATGTCCTAGAATCGACATGGCTCTCTGACTCCAGCTCTCCCTCTCCCAGTGGGAAGGAGCTCTTAAATATGGATCACGCAGTTGGCCCTACGTGCTTTAGGGTAGGGAGAAGGGCAATGGAACGACACAGTGTCAGAACGGGAATGGTCATTGCAAGGGCTTAGAGAATGGACCCAAGCAAGGAGCCCAGGCAAGCATGCAGTGGGTCCATGCAAGTGGACAGGAAGCTAAGGGTCAAACCAGGAATCTAGGCAAGGGCTAGACAGAGCCATAGGTGACATGAGCAAGTGATGCCAGAGGGTCACACCGAGGGCCCAAGCAAGGGGTCACCTCCAGATGTGTGGGTAGTTTGTTACCAAGGGGCTCCACAAGGGCTCAGTTCTAGGACCAAGCCCAAGGCGATCTGTACAGAGGACACTACAGCAGGACGGTGGAGGTAGAGCTTCAACGCGAAGAGCAAGGGCGGGTACAGGAGGGGCTCTGCAGGAGGAGGTCTGGGAAGGCTCAGTCCACTGCCAGGTACTGCGCACTGTGGCCTTTCCTCACGACCCCATTTCTCACACTTGCACAGTACTGCTGCGGGGCCAGATGGCCTGTGATGTCTCCAGCTCTGATGCTGTGTCCCAGTGTTCAGCCCCGGGTGACAGTCCCATGACAACCCCATCCCAGGAAACCCCAAGTCCTTGTCATGCCCTGCAACCCCCACCCCACCCCACCACTATATGGGGGAAGTTCACTTACCATCTGAAGCAGGGACATCCCAGCCTGGCCACCAGTATACCCCTCAGTCTGGAAAGGGCTTCTTCCTCTTCATTTCAGTCACATGATTCTCACCTATCAGGTCCCCAGAGAGCCAACTGGCTAGCAAGAGTCAAACTGGCCCTTCCTGGAAGTCCACCATGGGAGACTTCCAGGAGCCAGTCTTTCTCCTCAAACCTTAGTTTTATACTCAAGAATAAATAGATGTGCAGGAACCAAGAACTAAAAGGATCTGGTTGTTCATGGGAGAATGAGTGGTGCAAACCCATAAAGAAACGCTGAACTGCTGACAAAGTTTTACCTCTGTGGTCCCAGTTACAGTCATAGACGACATCACATTTCACTCAATGAAGATCAGTTTTAAGTTGTTGGTCCCATCAGATTAGATCACCCAGTGATGTTGTAGCTCTCTTACTTTATGTAGGTACATACTCTGATGTTTTCATATGGACAAAATCACCTCAGGTTGCATTTGTCAGAAAACACTTCATCATAGAGAAACACCATAAGTGTATGCTTGTAAACAAGCATCATTTTGTTCCAGGAAAAATCCTTTAAATAAATAAATCTTATTTAGATGCCTTAAATTTGTCTATTGTGCTTCAAAAAGAAGCTAAGGCTTAAAATTTGACAACCTGCTGCCTGAGGTTAGGAGTGTCAGTCAGTGTTAGATTGCTAAGCTACTTGCACAAAGCCCTGGTTTTAATCACCAGAATGACAAGAACAAAACAAGACCTACAACCTCAGTGTGCTGAATCCACCAACAAATGGGCGCACAAAGCCAGATCAAATTCAAGCGAAGTTGCTCTTTCTCATCTCAGATATGTACCGCTCTGCGGTGAACACATCCATCCTGTGTTAACTTCATAGGACTCAATGCCCTGCTATAACCCTGCCCCTGATAACCTCCCTCATGTCCTGCCCTGTATGAGTCTGGGTTTCTTCTGAGACCCTAGACATTTGGACAATACAAAGTCATGCAACAGCTTACACCATGAAACTCAATTAAACAAAATTATACTAAAAGAGATTCAATAACAGAATCTGTTTTTTGTTTTTTTTTTTTTTAAATCTGGAAAGCCCATGATTAAGGCAATGCCATCATGTTCAGAGGTGAATGTTCATGAGGGTTCTGACTTCACCAGTGGGTTAATCTATTAGATGGCTTCCTAATTTGAATGGACCACAGGGAGGTGGTGAAGAGTATAGGCCATGGGGCATGAATGGAGGAAGTAGGTCATCATGGGTTTGCCCTTGAGGACTGTATTTGTCCTTGGCCTCTTCCTCCTCTATCCTACTTCCCTGTTGCCAAGAGCTGATCAGCTTTCCCCCACCATACCCTCCTGCCATGATGTTCGTCCTCATTTGGGTCCCAGATCAATGGTGCAAACTGACCATGGACGGAGACTTTTGAAACCATGAGCCCAAATAAACCCTTCCTCCTCCAAGTTGCTCCTGTTCAGGTATTTTGATCACAGAGATGAAAAGCAAACGACACCTTTACATTTTTTTCATATTCTTTAAAAATATTTAGCAAGTATACAAAATCTCCATCATATAACCACAAATATTGACCTAATAAAATTATTAGTTACACCATCAGAAATATACCATTTGCCTAACTCTCTGTTCCTCACAATTAATATCCTGGAGGCTTTAATCTATAGGAACTTGATGATAAGTACCCAAACAAAACTATTTTAATTTTTTAAATACACAACTGAATTATTAATTTTTTAAAAGGAGCACTTGACTTATTTTTCTATGAAATCATTATACTTAAATATAAACGTATCTCCCAGTAAGGAAACGTCCATCAAGTGGCTAAAAATATTAACGTGAACCAACAACAAATGTATTCCTTGAGTATATCTTATCTTCATTTGTCTTGGAAAACCTATATTCAACCATTTGAGTTTATAGTCAATGGAAATTAAAGTTGATCGTTCTCTTCCGTCTTATAGAAGATAAAACTCAACTATTAGTAATAACAGTTAAGCATAAAATCCTTGTTCCTGAACACTGGTAACTATATGGAATACAACTAGTCTACATCACTTGGTAAATATTGCTGGTCCTTAACCATGAGCCAGAGTTTACGATACTTCCACTGAATTTCCTTTACAGTTCTAACATGGGTCTATTATTTCTATCATTTTTGAAAATGCACAAGTGACCAAAATTCTTATAGCCCTCATGTCAATATCATATGGTCAATACCATCAGGTCAAGTACAAACTCCAAAGCAAGAAAGAGACCCACCAACAGAGCTGACACAAGAAAAGAGGGTCCCCCTTGTTGTACCTGTGTGGGCCAGGCCACCTAGCACCACTTCCCTTCCAGTTCCCTCTTCCAGACCCTCCTCACCCCCAACCACACACCCTGTGTGCATTTTCATCTGCACTCACCCTAGGACTCTGTCCACAGGTTCTTTCCCTGAGTACTCACAGTTGGCACTGGCTGCAGCTGGGGAGGTGAAGGAAGGAGGTGAAGGAAGGTGAAGGAAGGAGGTGTGACCACAGTCCAGTTTCACTTGAAGGGTCAAAGCTGAGGGGCAAATGGAAGAGCTTATTTTGCCCTGAAGGCTTGAGCTCCTCAGGCTGCTGCTGCTGCTGCTGCTGCTGCTCACAGGCCGAGAGGGGCCAGGAGCGCATGGCCGGCCTGCTGACGCCCCAACTTGGGCCAAGAGTCAAGCTGGAGGGGATGGACAGGGACGGGCAAGGCCCCACCTGTGGCTGCACAAGCATCTGCCGCCCCACCTGGCAGCCCAACCCCCAGGGGCCAGCGCTTGACTCCTGAGCCACTTTCCCAGCCCTTTCTACTGTCTTTGATGAAGGATCTCACACACTTGCCTAGGCAGGTCTTGAATTGCCAATGCCCCTACTCGGCCTCCCCAACCCACAAGTAGAAAGGCAGTCACCACCTTGCCAACCGTGACATGTCTCTGTGTCTGTCTCTGTGTGTTCCTGTGTGTGTGTGTGTGTGTGTGTCTGTGTGTGTGCATGAGCACACCTGAGACCAAACGCGACCATGTGTGG